AAAAAAACTGGGGATAACGAAAAAGGGGGCGTTGCACCTCCCGTACGAATGAAATATTTCATAGTTTATATCTCTGAAAGCATTTAGGTTACCCCACTGAAATTTGGTGAGGGAGACCACTGAAATTTAGGCGTTATACGAGATTAAATATGAAATCATCAAAATTAACAATATAGCAAACAACACATATAATTTGAAGCGCAAGCTTAACACGCGGGAAAAATTGACAGTGTAGACAACAAGTTATAAAATCGTCATTTAATCGGCCATCACTGTAAATATGTAAACAGAAAACAGCTGATGCATTTCATTGTAATCTTTATATTCGCAAAAAGCTTTTAGAAGTGCAATAAGCAATTAATTAAGTTCACTTTAAAAAGTCTAAAAAGTGGTAAGAGTGATTATATATGTGAAAAAATTATGATTCTAAAAAGAGTTAAAGTGTGATTTATACAAAAAAGTGTGGTGATACAACTTTCCAAATGATCTATTGAATGACAAGAGTGGGATCTTAAGTTAAAGGAAAATGTATTAAATTGCATTTAAACATTTATAGAATCATATACTGGTATATAAAAACTGAATATCTATTATTGTTCTTTAATGTAAATTGTTTTATTTAGTGAAATGCCTTCCCGAAAAAAGGCGCGTATCAGTCGCGATAGCCGTGGGGCAGCCACCAGTCGAGCAAACAGAGCAAATGAGTCAGAGGAAGCGCATGAGAGTCGTTTAGCTGTACTGCGCACTCGGGACGCTTTGAGTAGAGCAAATGAGTCAGAGGAAGCGCGTGAGAGTCGTTTAGCTGAACTGCGCACTCGGAACGCTTTGCGTAGAGCAAATGAAAGTGAAGAGCAAGTGGGGCTTAGACGCGAAGGACTGCGATCACGTGCAGCGGCAAATAGAGCAAGTGAAACAGAATAGGAGCATGCACTTCGACTAAGTCAGATGAGAATGGCAGTGACAACGCGTTGTGTTAGAAATAATACCTTAAAACGAGAAGCTTTTGACTATAAACCAGATGCCCAATACCAGTATCACCCTCAAGTAACTATAGGCGAAATGAACACAGTCTGCAATTTTTGTCAAGCACGAAAGTTTAAAACTGAGCCGGCTGGAATGTGTTGTTGTAACGGAAAAGTCTATCTCCCTTCTCTACCTGAACCACCAAATTTGCTTTTATCACTTACGTCAGGAGAAACAAATAATTCAAAAGTATTTCTACAAAACATCCGTAAGTACAACTCCTGCTTCCAAATGACGTCATTTGGAGCAACAAAAGTAATTCAAGAAGCCGGTTTCATGCCCACGTTTAAAATTCAAGGACAGGTATACCACCAAGCTATTTACATTGGATATTTTTAATAGAAATGTGGGGTGAAACCCACGGGTATAAGCTAGTATTATATAAACATACGATTAAAACGTTTGAAATAAATCTCGTCTCACTTTTTTGTATTTTTCACTTGGTTGCTGAAGTAATGAAGAATTGAAAATTCATAAGGGATAATTATAGTTTTTGTAAGTTTTATCTTAATATCTTAAAAACTAGTAGACTTATTGAAAAATGGTAAATGAACGTGTGGTACTAAATTTAATAACCCTTAATTTGATATATTGTCCTACTTATAATAATTAACGCATTCCATAGATATTACAAGCCAAAGTCATATTTTCAAAATTCATACACTTTGATTCAATTGCGCGGGCTAAAGATAAGTTTTAAATAAATCTTTCGTGGCCAATAAGAATTGGCTTAGACCTAAGACATCATAATATTACTATTACAATACGGTCAAATCACTTTTATTTTCCCCCATACAAAATCGACCCAACCTAATGTACTTATCTCCCAAAGCTGGCAAATGGAAATAAGGATTAAAGTTTCAAAACTAATTAATAAAATTAAAGTAAACTATGTATTTATAAAGTTTGAAAAAAAATACTTTTTTCGCAAAATCTTTAAAGGACTCTTTTATTTTTCGAAAAATCTTTGCGACAGTTATTATTTTACGCCCTGTACTTTGCCCTGTACTTAGTAAGTAAAGTTAAGTGTGATAGTGAAAAGGTGTAAGCATGGTCGTAGGCAGGTAGGTGCAGGGCGCTCGGGTATAAAAATCAGAAAATTGTTAAATTATAAAATAAAAAAATTGCCATACCTTCAGGAATAGCCTGCAAGTCTTTTGTAGTATTTATCATTTATTGTTGCTTTGGAAAAGATTTATATGATATCCGTGTTTGTTTGTACCTAAATAATGCTAATTTGTAACAATAAATTGCACAAAAAAATTAAAACAAAAATTGTACTCCTTTTTTAAGTTCTGTACTGCTTTTTTTCTATCGAAAATAGAAATGTACTCCTTTCTCAGTGTCAGAATCTGGCAACCCTAGTTATTATAGACACCGAAATTTATTGTTCTTTTTTTTTTTGAGAAAAACTAAAAAATTAAACGCAAAGCTGTAATTAGAAATTAGTTAAGTACGGGCTGAGTAGTTTTGGCAACCTATATCTAATTTTTGTACATGCAACTTCTGCTAAAATTTCCGAGTATGGATGCTTCCTCAAAAGTACATAAACTGAAAAAAATACGCATAGTGAGCGATAGTATATTATTTGAGCTGATTTCTTTCGCAATTTCCTTAACTTCTAATATTTTTCGGATTTCGTATGCATTCGATAGCTGTTATGTCATCGAATGGCCATTCGAACGAACGCGTATGATCAGTCGCTGGTTCACGACTGTCATCCTACCGAATTACGAGATGAGCAGCACGTTCAAGTCTATTCTAATCCGAAATATGCAATTTAGAAAGAGGCCCGCAAGAGTCCTCTTGTAGAGGGGGACATATGTGTTTTCACAGAACGAATGGGCGTTGCAATGCGACTGTTCCTTTGCTTACCATAAATGTATGAGTATAGCGTAAAATGATTTCTACGGCAATTAGTAATAGGCTTTGTTGGCCGACAGAGAAGATACAAATTTGTGTCTGCTTTATAGGTCTATCTACAAGGCTCGTTGAGGCATCCCAGATATATTACAATTTAGCATTTTTGAGCAACAAAATAATTTTTAACATTCATTCTTATATGCAACAATTACAGAAGCTCAGTAGTCTTATGTTTGACTTGTTTTTCCCCTTCTTCTTCTTCTTCTTCTTCTTTATTGACGCTGCTAGGCGGTTGCCTAAGTGATTTTCACAGAGACCAAAATAGCACGCCAGTCATTTC